GGTACGCAGGCCTCTCACTGTTGTGGCCTCTCCCGTTGTGGAGCACAGGCTCTGGACGCACAGGCTCAGCGGCCATGGCTCACGGGCCCAGCCTCTCCGTGGCATGTGGGATCTTCCCGGACCGGGGCACGAACCTGTGTCCCCTGCATCGGCAGGCGGATTCTTAACCACTGTGCCACCAGGGAAGTCCCTGGTCTTAGCCTTTTTTTAAATTTACAGACATTCTGGATATTAATCCATTACTTCTGTTTCAAATATTTTGCTTGTCTTTTTCTTTCAAAATCATATTAACTTAATTTTCTGAATATAAAATACATGCTCACTGTAAGAAAAATAGAAAATTGTGAGGATAACAATCATCTGAAAACCCTTTATGCAGAGACAGTCACTGTTAACATTTTAGTAAACATCCTTATTTATATTTATCTATTCATATTCATATGCATTCATATGTACGTTAACTTGTTTATAGTAAATCATGGCTACAGAGAGGGATATATATCTAAAGCACGTTCGATTCACGTTGTAGTCATCATAAAGCTCATGAGGGAAGACAGAAAGCGTCTCTACATGGGGAGGGGCTGTTAGCACTCTGGCTGCTGGTCCCCATCGGCACCTGGTCGAGTTAGGGCTCTGTGGACCCCAGGACCTCTGGACCTCGAGACCCCAGTACAATGAGAACAAAAAAGACAGAGATAAACACAGAACTTTTTCAGTGCTTTTATTTGCCTTATTTCCCAGAATTTCTCTTTTTGTCCTCCTTTCCTTCCTATTTCCCAGGCTACCTCCTCAATATGCATCTCTGTCACTGTGGAGAAAAATGTCAGTCCCGGCTTTTTTCCTCTTGTGATGCTCACTGTGATCTAGGAACTCTGGAGACACTTCTTCCTTTTCTTCAGATCAGCATTTCCACTGGACCCTTTCTCTAGCTTATGTGGCTGGGCTCTTAATTTTGTGGGTAGTATCTTTCATTATGCTGAAGTTTCAGATTTTCACGTTGCTATATTTTCAACTTTTAAAAAATGGCTTCTGGGTTTTAAGAGCCTCTATTCCATTCTAGGATTATAAAAATATTTCCTTTTACTTTGTAAAAATATTTATGATTTTACTTTTCACGTTTATTTTAAAATCTGTTTGCAGTTTATTTTTGCAAATGGAGTGAAGCAGAGCTCCAGCCTTCGTTTTTTCAGATAGATAGCCACTTGTCTCTGCCTCACGTTGTGTATTGTCCTTCCTGTCCTCACTGTCTGAGATGCTACCCTTATCTCTCTTCTCATCTATTCATCTGTTTGGCTACCCTGTATTGTTTCCAGAGTTTTAATTATTGTAAGTTTATATTTTGGTTTTGTTTTGTTTGTTTGTTTTTTGTGGTACGTGGGCCTCTCACTGTTGTGGCCTCTCCCGTTGCGGAGCACAGGCTCCGGACGCACAGGCTCAGCGGCCATGGCTCACGGGCCCAGCCGCTCTGCGGCACGTGGGATCTTCCCGGACCGGGGCACGAACCCGAGTCCCCTGCATCGGCAGGCGGACTCTCAACCACTGCGCCACCAGGGAAGCCCATTGTAAGTTTATATTTTGATTAGTAGGCAAGTCTACAGTTATTTCTTTCCACACATTTCTTGACAATTCTTGCATATTTTCTCTTCCTATACCTAAACCTGCCTGTCATTTTTTTTTTTAAACTTTTGGGCATTTTGATTAGCATTATACTAAATTTATAGATTTATTTGAAAAGATGAACCAGAGTTCATAACCTTTTTGCAGTACTCCCTCCTTGATGAGGTGAAGAGCCTGAGACAGACTGCAGAGGAGAGGGCAGCAGGACTGGGACTGAGGCAGGGAGAGTAGGATGGAGGAGGGTGGGGGGTGATGGACTGGGTCTTGGTGGACTGGGTTGGGCGGGCAGTCAGACATGACTCTTGGGGTGGGGAACCCCGATGTCTCTTCTCTCTCAGAGAGAAGCTAGTGAAGACGCTGGTGGAGCTGCTGACCAACCAGGTGGGAGAGAAGATGGTGGTGGTGCTGGCCCTGCGCCTCCTCTACGTGCTCATGACCAAGCATGAGTGGCGCCCACTCTTCGCCAGGGAGGGTGGCATCTACGCTGTGCTGGTTTGCATGCAAGAATATAAGACTTCTGTCTTGGTGCAGCAGGCAGGGCTGGCGGTGAGTGGACTGGGCCTGGAGGTAGAGAGTGACGGGCAGGGTGGGCAGGGTGGGCAGGTTGGGGGCGTGGCTGATCTCGAGGAGGTTCTCTGGTGATTCGGACAAGGAGGAGACATTGGGATGGCAAGATGCAGGTGGATGGAGGAGGTCCAGCTGGACATTCTTGGAGATTGAATGCGTATTTAGAGGAAGGGAGAAGAATGTTTTTGAGAATGACTCCCAGGTTGAAAATTGAGCAGCAGGGGTGGATGAGGTGCCCACTTGCCAAGGGGGAGAATGTTGGAGGGGGAAGAGGTGTGGAGAGAAGGTCAGGTTGAATTTCTAGGCATGCTGACTTTCCCATGGCTTTTTAGTTACAACTAGGTGTCTGATTAAAGACTAAATTTCTAGATGGGACAGAGTATTTTTTAACCCTTTTGTCTGAGTGGTACCGGTGCACAGAAATTACCACCTCACCAGATGTGGGTAAAGCCCAGCCAGCATTGCCATTGCCTTGCCCCGCCCCCTCCCCGGGCCCAGAGAATGGTGAAAGGAGGCCCTCGTTCAGGGAGGAAGAATTGGCTTCCTGAGTACTCCAGACAGAAGGGCTGGCTGGTAGGGAGGTATGGGCAGGGGACAGGTAGGCCTCGTCCAGAGCAGTTCTGAGAATGGATTCCAGCAGTGTAACGGCAGCAGCATGGACTGGAGCACAGGTGCTCTTAGGGCAGGCTTCCCAGGGAGCGGCCGGGAGGCTCGTCCTTTTTGGGGCCAGCCTGGTGCTGCCCCTCCCAAGAGCAGCCAAGCATTCCTAGTTGAGGCCGTGTCTGCTCAAAAAATTCCCTGATCCTTTCAAACCACATGGCCAAAATACGACATATGCCTCTAAATTTGAACTCTTGCCCTATAACAGAATTGCATCTTTTTGTATATAACTTAAGGTCTACAGAATTCAGCTTGGGGGAGGGGGAGGTAGCTAAAGGGAAAAAGCCTCATTATGAGGTAGCATTTGCTTGAAGGGTCCAGCCCTCACAAGGGGGATCATCCTGAGAATTATTTCTAATTTACTTCATCCTTAGAAGGTTTCTTCTCAAGAGTCAACCCTTTCACCAGCCAAGACATTCTCCACCCTGATGGTTTAGTGTTCATCCTAATTTAGGATTCTCTTTAGTACCAGCAAACAAGTTGGCGTATTACCAATATTTTTTCCTATAATTCCAGCTGCTCTACCTGTGAGTCAACACAAGTAGCCTCATCCAGGCAGGCTGGATACTGCCTTTGGAGGCCAGGGGACATAGGGGTGGGAGTGTTGGCACACAGGTGCTAGCGGCAGTTGTGGGAATGGCCGAGGTTGCATGGGGCGGGGGTGTGGAGATCGAGGAGAAGGGGGACAAGGAACTCCATATTTGGGACCCGGCAGCAGAGAAACTCACAGAGAGGTAGGACGACCAGGAGGACGAGAAGTTTTGGAACTCAAGGGAAGAGAGGTTTTTCAAAGGGAGGAGTGGCCAAGCGAGATGGAAGACAACTTAAAGGAAAGGCTTGAAGGCAAGTAGAGGCTGTGAAAGGGCTCTGTCCTGAGGGGAAGCTGCGGAGGGGTGGCCACCCCAGCACTCGACGAGCCTCCGTGCTGGCAGAGAGAAGTTACAGACTCACATTACCATGGAGCCTTAGGTTTTTTTGGTTGGCTTTTCTTTTCTTTTTGATGTCCCATCACTACCTCTTTCATTTCGTTTGTTGTTTGTTTGTTTGTTTTTGCGGTACGCTGGCCTCTCACTGTTGTGGCCTCTCCCGTTGCGGAGCACAGGCTCCGGACGCGCAGGCTCAGCGGCCATGGCTCACGGGCCCAGCCGCTCTGTGGCATGTGGGATCTTCCTGGACCGGGGCACGAACCCGTGTCCCCTGCATCGGCAGGCGGACTCTCAACCGCTGCGCCACCAGGGAAGCCCTACCTCTTTCATTTCTATCTGCAAACAGCTCAGCTGCCCCAAAGTTTGAGGCCTAGAATGACGGCCCGGCTCTCCCCTCCTCTGCATGGTGGCTTTGCCCACTCCTGACTCTGCCTTCACATCCCCTTGCAGGCGCTGAAGATGCTGGCCATTGCCAGCTCCTCGGAGATCCCCACTCTTGTTGCCGGCCGAGATTCCATCCACCCTTTGTTTGATGCCCAGATGACCAGGGAGATCTTTGCCAGCATTGACTCGGCCACACGCCCGGGCGCTGAGAGCCTGCTCCTCGCCGTCCCTGCTGCCGTGATCCTGATGCTGAACACGGAGGGGTCAGGACCTCCCCTTCCAAACTCCAAACTCCTGCTAAGCCCCAAGCCCTGCTGCTCCCCTGCTGCTCCCCTGCCCAGGTCTCATGCATTCCACAGAAATTCCCCTCACGTTGTTGCCTCTGGATGAAATGTGGTGGTCCTCTCTGGCTGTTGTTAGAAGTGAGGCCAGTGGTTGAGGGTAGGGAGATTCCAGAGAGATCAGAGACACCTGCTCTTCCTTCCTGGAGTTGGAAGAGGCCAGATGTCTGGCCTCGGGGACCCCCGGAGCCCCTCCTTCCCCACCTGCAGGGCTCCTCCGTCCAGGAGGCTGGCTTCCTGCTTCCATTGCATTCACTCTCTTTCAACTTCTTTCTGGGTCACCTCCCTCCTCCCAGGTGCTCCTCCGCGGTGAGAAACGGCCTGCTCCTCCTCAACCTGCTTTTGTGTAACCACCACACTCTGGGAGACCAGATCGTAACCAGAGAGCTGAGAGACACCTTGTTTAGACACTCAGGGATAGCACCGGGGACAGAAGCCACACCCACCACACGCACCATCCTCATGATGCTTCTCAATCGCTACTCGGAGCCACCGGGCAGTCCCGAGCGTGCAGGTACCATGGGGAAGGCGGTGGTTGTGCTGAGGAATCGGTCCCCACCCACGGCCAGGAGGGCTCAGGTTTACATCCTAGTACCGTGCTGGAAAGACACGATGAACCTTCAGGAAATGAGTGAGGGTTTTGGTGCTCAAGTTAGGTCTCAAGTAGAACTTCCTGACCAAGAGGAGAGGGGGACTGTGGAATAGGTACAAGGAAATTGCCTTCTCTAAATGGTTTTAAACATAAAAGGGTTCTCATCTGTCTGGGCTGGGTTTGGTCCGCTCTTACGGGACACTGGAAGGTTGGTTGAAATGACTTCTAGAGAGGCCTTCTGTAGAGGAATTGTAGCTTATGGTACAGAAAGTTGGTGACTAGAATGTGAACTACTGATGCCATAGGGAAGGAACCTTTTGTATTTTATGGGGGCAAATCAGAATAAGCACTGTGTGTCTTTTAGTCTGTACATCTGAAGCCACCATGCTAGGTAGTATAGGGACGTGACTGTAGTAGCTAATAGTTACTGACTTGTGTAATAACAAAGTTGATAGTTAATAGTAGAAGGTAGTTGTGTGACTGTAGGAGATTAAAACTGTGCCGTTTAACTTGACAGTTTTTGCCATACTAATTTTTTTTACAGATGTAGTTAGGTATATATTTGGTGCCAGAAAAGAAAATGCCGCACAGTTGAGTAGAAACTTCAGACATCCTCACAACGGGAGGAAAATTGGGGGGCGGCGGTTATTTTCTGCATCTGCCAGTTTCTCAGTTTGACCAATTTGTATGACTCTCCTTCCTACCCATTTTTGCCTCCTGTGTGTCTGAGCAGCAGCACTGGAGACGCCTGGCGCCCAGGGCCAGGATGGGTCCCCTGAGCTGCTGATCCGATCCCTGGTGGGGGGCCCATCTGCAGAGCTCCTCCTGGACTTGGAGCGTGTGCTGTGCCGAGAGGGCAGTCCAGGGGGTGCCGTGAGACCTCTCCTCAAGCGCCTCCAGCAGGAGAGCCAGCCCTTCCTCCTGTTTCTGCGGACTCTGGATGCCCCCGGGCCCAACAAAACTCTGCTGCTGACGGCGCTGAGGTGAGAGGCCAGCTCGGGGGCACCTGTGCGTCGGGGGCAAGGGCAGCTGGCAGACTGCGGGGATTTCACTTGTTTTCATCCCTCGCCCAGGGTCATGACCCGGCTGCTGGATCACCCGGAGGCCATGGTCCTTCCCTGGCACGAGGTCTTGGAGCCCTGCCTCAACTGTCTGAGTGGCCCTAGCAGTGACTTTGAGGTACCAGAGCCCTGGCAAGGGTGGGGGAGGGAAAGGCAGCCTCTGGACACCAGCTCCCTAGTGAGGTTCTGGAGGGCACAGCACAGCCTTCCTGGATGAGTCTGGAAACTGGGAGGGGTGTGTAGGAAGGAGACCAGCGTCATCTGAGCATCTCCAGAACTGAGGCCTTCTGGCTGCACCTGAATTTTAAGATTCTGGGTTTAGGAGAACCCCACGTTCACCAGTCCACGCAGTCCTTGCTCTCCGCCTTTGGGGTTTGTGCCTTGTGGAGCAAGACTCAGACACCGAGGTTGGCTCCTGAGATAGCTTGGTCCTGGCAGGACGAAGCCTGGGGAGCTGCGCCTGAGCTCTGCCCCTGCCACCTCACTCTGGAGTCCTGGCACCCCAGTGTTCTGTGCCAGCCTGGCTTTGGTACTCTGCTTTCAAGTTCTCCAAAATCTCAGCCACCACATCCCCATTTCTAAACCCACCCCTCAGCCTGTACAGCCTGACCTTTGTTTCCCTACGTTAATCTCTGTGGCTCTGGGCCAGATTGTTCAGGAGCTGCTCTGCTTCCTGTATCGCCTGGCCTCCATGCACAAAGACTATGCAGTGGTGCTCTGCTGCCTGGGAGCCAAAGAGGCCCTGGTCAAAGTCCTGGACAAGCACTCGGCTCAGCTGCTGCTGGTCTGTGAGCTGCGGGACCTAGTGACAGAGTGTGAGAAACACGCCCAGCTCTATAGTAACCTCACCTCCAGCATCCTGGCTGGCTGCATTCAGGTGAGGAGGTGTGTGGGTTCGGAGCTGAGAAGTAAGCCAGCAGCAGGGGAAGGTGGTTCAGTGCATGTCCCTGTTTGGCATAAGTAGTAGCAAATCTAGGGCACTTGTTCCCCAACCTTTGCCCCACATGGTTCTGTTCTGCCGAAATTTGGGAAGAAAGGGGTTGAGTGTTCTGTTGCCCCTTGATTCTTTCTCCACATGTTTTTCCTTGTCTCTGCCCCCTACCCACACCCCTTCTCTCCGATGTCCGGGCTGCAGATGGTGCTGGGCCAGATCGAAGACCACAGACGAACCTACCGCCCCATCAACATCCCCTTCTTTGACGTGTTCCTCAGGCATCTCTGCCAGGGTTCGTGCCCCCATCTTCTTTCTCCTGCTGCCACCCCAGCATCTGTTCCCCCCTTCCCTTCCTGCTCCCTAGTCCCCTTCCTTTCTTCTCTCTCAACTAACCAGGCTTCCCGCCTGCCCGCAGGCTCCAGCGTGGAGGTGAAGGAGGACAAGTGCTGGGAGAAGGTGGAGGTGTCCTCCAACCCGCACCGGGCCAGCAAGCTGACGGACCGCAACCCCAAGACCTACTGGGAGTCCAACGGCAGCACCGGCTCCCACTACATCACCCTACACATGCACCGTGGTGTTCTTATTAGGTGTGAGCGTGCCCATGTCCATGTGTGCCCTCACACGCGAATGTGCACACACACGAATATTCTGATATGCCCCAGTACACATCCTCAGAGGATTGCCCACATACACACAACCCCGACTGAACCCCTATGCCTGAGGGACACGCTGAAACCCATTTTGTGCAGTGAACATAGACACATTGGCCTCATCTCCCTGAGCTAAGCTTAGACCTCCCCTCACTCCCCAAGCCTGTGCCGTACTCCCCCTACAGGTCACGTGTCACTGCCCTGTGGTTTTGGTTGAGGGAGAGCAATGACTCACTTATCCACTCCTCCCATGGGCATTTGTTTATTGTGTACTCTGTGCCAGGCACCCTGCAAGGGTCTGGAGCTGCGCGGACAGTAAGATAAGGGGCCTGTCTTCAGGGAACTTACTGTCTTGTTGGGGAGCCAGGCTGTAAAATCAGTAAGAAATAGAGTAAGAAAAAAGTTACGGTTGATGTGTGCACTGGATCCTGATGCCAGCTGAGAGCTCAGAGGAGGCTGCCGGAAGGAGGGGCTGACTGCGTTAAGTTTGCAGTAGAAATTGATGAGGTAAAGAGAGGGCAACGGATACTCCAGGCCGAGGGACAGCGTATGTGCAAGATGGAAGCAAGAAACAATGATGTATTTGGGGGAACCTTAAGTAATTGTGTTTGACTGGAACGAAGGGTATGTGTAGTGAAGTGGCAGGAGAGGAAGCCAGAAACAGAGGCAGAGACGGACCACAGAGTTCTGTGATCTAACAACTCAGAGCTTTATTCTGAAACTTGAGCCACTGAAGGATTTTAAGAGGGAAAG